TCGGACAAAATTTATGCAACAACCTAATAAGTATAATACGTTAGCTACAGTCTTTTTCAACCAGGTGTAGGCGAAACATTTCAAGTGGAGCAGCACGTCCGCACCGCCACTGGCTCAGCGAGATAGATTAGAAGAGACGCAGGCTGCAAAGCGGTGCGGATCGTTGCGAAGCGGACCCCGCCAGTCCAATATCCGCCTAAACTAATTTGAAACTTACTATAATTGAATCTGAAACCAAAATCTGATGGCAAAAAAAGCGCTTGAATGAAAAAGAAAAGCTACACGCGCGAGCAGTGGCCGCAGTCACCGACTCTCGCGACCATGCAGAGCCCTACAAGAACAGTAATCCGCGGAGGCGTGTCCCCAAATTCTCAATGCAGTCTTGAGATTATATATAATGCAGGGCCCTATAAGGCCCTGCAGCGACTTCTGTGTCTTGACTTCGGCGGGAGCTGTTCCATTCATCCAAATTCGAAGTAAAGGACACTGGGAAGACTTTTTTCTCGGTGGTTTATTGTTCTTACATGTCGTAAGATTGATGTCGATCTAGCAAATAAGGCCCAAGTAGGCGAAGGAACTAAGAGTTTCCCGACAGTGGACAGTGAGTGGACATTGCTTTCAAGGCCTAATGCTATATAATACACTAGCTGGCTTACCCGGCTCCGCCGTATCCGGACCAAACTTGGCACACATACACTTCGGGCCCCGGCGGGTGTCACAGTCCACTTTTCGTTATCGATCGATGTCGATTTTACCAATTTTTATCGATTTTTTGCAGAGTTCACCTACAGGGCTAAGAATTGTCACAGGGGGGAAGTGAGCATGGGGATTCCGAATACAACATTAATTTTCAGGATCGTCCATTACTTTTATCGATTTTATCGATTTTTTTTGTAAAGTTTGACCTGCGGGGCTGGGAGTTTGCACAGGGGGGTAATCGAGCATGCTGATTACGAACACAGTATTAGTTTTCAGGATCGTCCATTACTTTTATCGATTTTATCGATTTTTTGAAAATTTGAGCTAGGGGGCTGGAATTTGGCACAGGGCTGTAATCGAGCATGCTGATCACCCCCCTTGGGGATGATCAGCATGCTCGATTACCCCCCTGTGCCAACTCCCAGCCCCCTAGCTCAAATTTTGCAAAAAATCGATAAAATCGATATCGATCGATGACGAAAAGTAGCCTATGATACCCGCCGGGGCCCGAATTGTATGTGTGCCAAGTTTGGTCCGGATCGGTTCAGAAATGGAATTTTCTATTCGGAACATACGTACATACATACAGACATACATACAGACAGACATACAAACAGACATTCAGCTTTATATATAAGACTAGCGACCCTACGGGTCGCTAGTAGGTGGGTGGGGTCAGATACATTGATATCTGCCATTAATTAACTAAAATCTCAAGAAAGAGAATTTTCATCTTCCCAGCGACCTTTCGCATGTTGTGAGTAGTAGAAACAAAACACTATGCTCTTAGGAAAAGAAGCTACTACCACTGACTATGCGCAAAGCATCTTTGCTGTTTTCTTGCACATACCTTCGCCCAGATACCACAGCTCTTAAACAAGGAAGCTACCTCCAAGCACCTGTTTAGAACAGCTGATTCGTCCCAAAACTCAGATTGATTTCCAGGAAAGTGCCATGTTAAAGAAAGCGTCAAGTTATGTCTTTTTCCTGTCGCAAGAAGCTCGTGGGTCTGTCTCAACCCCAAGACCTTTCTGCCTTCAGAGGCAGAAGTCTGGTTTTTGCAGAGTAGAATGGACACAAGTGAATTTCAAACAAGTTTCTGTAGAATAAACAATGACATCCAGAAATTTTCAGCGAAAATATCTTGCTGGCTGAGCTTATTAGTCTCTTCCGAGACCAAGCTATCTGTGCGGTTTTGCTTTTAGGGGTAGAAGTATGGGTTTTGCAGAGTAGAATGGCCACGAATTTCAAACAAGTTTCTGTATAATGCAACATCGACACTCAGAAACTTCTGGCGAAAATATCTTGCTGCCTGAGGCCATAATCCTTTCTTCTATCGAGACCAAGCTCCTTGTGCTTTTTTGCTTTTAGGGCCTGAAGTGTTGTTTTTGAGTTTTGTGGTTTTTGCGCGAAGTTTGGGAGTCAAACGTCTTAGCGAAAATGTCTTGTCGGATGAAACTCATGGGTCTGTCCTTCCCTAGAGACTAAATTCCCTGTGCTTTTCTGCTTTTAGGGGCAGAAGAACTGGTTTTGCGAAGAGGAGGTCAACGCCTTAGCGAAAATGTTTGTCGCACGAAGCTCACGGTTCTGTCTTTTCCTCGAAGCCAAGCTATCTGTGCTGCTTTGCTTTTAGAGGGAGAAGTGTGGTTTTGCAAAGTAGAATGGCCAGAAGTAAATTTTACGCAAGTTTTTGTATAATCATTGAACCCACAAACTTCTGGCGAAAATTCTTGCTGCCTGAAGATTCTTTCTTCCCTCGAGACCAAGCACCCTCTGCTTTTCTGCTTTCAGGGCAGAAGTACTGGTTTTTGCGAATTAGAAGGGGCTGAAAGTTTTTGCGAAAATGTCCTGTCGCAAAAAGTTCATAAGTCTGTCCTTCCCGAGAGACTAAATATCCTGTGCTTTTCTACTTTTAGGGGCAGAAGTACTGGTTTTTGCGAAGTATAGGGGTCAAACGTCTTGAAGAAAATGTCCTGTCGGATGAAGGTCGTGGGTCTGTCCTTCCCTCGAGAGCACTTTGTGCTTTTTTACTTTTAGAGGCAGAAATATGATTTTTGCAAAGTAGCAGGGGCAGAAGTAAAGTTTGAAGCAAATTCCGTATGAATGAATATTGACACCCCGAACTTATATTATCTATATCTATTTCTATATCTATATCTTTATAAAAGTATCTTGCTGGCTGAGCTTATGAGTCTTTTCCCCTCGAGACCAAAAGGGCCGGAAGTGAATTTCAAGTAAGTAGAAATTCTTAGCGGAAATGTCTTGCCGCCTCAGTTTATAAGCCTTTTCTTCCCTCGAGAGCAGGCTCTTTGTACTTTTCTGAATTTAGAGGCAGGATTTTTGAAAGGTAAAGGCGGGTCAAGGTGAATTTATAACAACTTTAGGTAGATTTACCGTCTTCTTCAATTCCGAGTGTGATTATAGGATTTTCAGCATGCTCACTTACCCCCGGACCAGTGCCATCTCAGCCTCGTAGCTTCAGCTTTAAAAAAAGATGAAATCAATGAAAGTGTATTCTCAAAAACGGTTACTATTTGCAGTGCGCGCGCTCACTACAACTTTGTGCCAAATGCCAGCCATGCAGCTTAATTTTACAAAGAATAGAAAAATCGAGAGAAATAATAGGTATCAACTCCGTGATTCTTGTAGAGGCGGGGTTTTGCCAACTCAAAGCGTGGCGGTTTTTATAGCGAGAGAGTTTGAAAAACAATGCTATGACGTGGAGGTTTAACAAGTTCATCCTTAAAATCAGGGAAAGTCCGCAACCCGCCTCGACGCGAATCGTGGAGACGATCATACTTTCAAGAACACTTATTACAATCGTAATCGGCATGCGCTTTTCCCATGTTCCAAATCCCAGTTCTGCGGCTTAAACTTTGCAAAAAATCGATAAAGCCAGCGAAGGTAATTGATAACTTGTAAAATAAGAATGTGTTCGTGAGCAGCATGCTCAATTAACTGTCTGTACCAACCCCCAGCGCCGTGATTCAAACATTGCAGAAAACAATTAAACCAACAGAAGTAATGCGTATTCTCTGAAATGGTTATCGAATTCGTAATCGACATGCTCGCTTACTCCCATGTGCCAACTCTCAGCGCCGTAGTCCGAACTTTGCAAAAAATTGATAAAATGATAAAAGTAATGGGCATTTTTGAAAATGGTTATCATATTCGTAATCAGCATGTTCCCTTACCCCCTGTGCCATCAGCGCCGTAGCTCAAGCTTTGCAAAAAATCGATAAAATGATAAAAGTAATTGATAATTCTAAAAACTAATATTGTATTCGTAATCAGCATACTCGATTACCCCCCTCTACCAACTTCCAGCCCCCTAGTTCAAAATTTGCCAAAAATCGATAAAATGATCAAAGTAATGGGCATTTTTGAAAGTGGTTATCATATTCGTAATCAGCATGTTCGCTTACCCCCCTGTGCCAACTCTCAGCGCCGTAGCTCAAGCTTTGCAAAAAATCGATAAAATGATAAAAGTAATTGATAATTCTAAAAACTAATATTGTATCAAAGGGGGGTAATCAGCACACTCGATTACCCCCCTTTGCCAACTCCCAGCCACGTAGTTCAAAATTTGCCAAAAACTCGATAAAATGATCAAAGTAATGGGCGTTTTTGAAAATGGTTATCATATTCGTAATCAGCATGCTCGATTGCCCCCTGTGCCAACTCTCAGCGCCGTGGCTCGAACTTTGCCAAAAACCGATAAAATTATAAAAGTAATTGATAATTCTAAAAACTAATATTGTCGTAATCAGCATACTCGATTACCCACCTGTGCCAACTCCCAGCCCCGTAGCTTGAACTTTGCAAAAAAATCGACAGAATGATAAAAATAACTGATAATTCTGAAAACTAATATTGTATTCGCGTAATCAGCATGTTCGCTTACCCCCTGTGCCAACTCCGAGCCCTGTAGTTTAAAATTTGCAAGTAATCGATAAATTTGGTAGAAGTAGTAACAAGTTTCCATACTGGAAAACGACAGACACGAAAACACCATCGACCAGGAACCATCGAGGACGTAAAGACAGCATCCACCAGCGTACAGACAAGTACACCATTCGGTTTTATATATATAGAAGGATGATTTTTCTGGTGTTGATGCAGATGCTTCGAGCCTTGTCCATTAGAATCCTATCTCAGTTATGAATCTGAGCAATCCGAGCAGCATTTTGTACGGACTCGGATTGCGCAAGACGTGCTGGGCTTGATGAAGCTTGTCTGCAATCACTTCGACGTCTTTTCTGGAGTCCACCGTGATTACACAATCGCAATCATACCGTTCCAAATAATTGCTTTGACAATTTCGCGTTCAGATTCAGTTGGACTTCTTCCTTTTACACAGTGGATATTTCGATCAGATGTAAAACTGATTGATTGTTCAAAATGGATGCGATGGAAGGCGAGGTATGTTTTCCGTTTGGTCCACTTTTCGTGAATGTTGTTTTGCTTCATATTCTTTGTGTTCTACATTATTCGCTGTATTTTCACATTTCGAAATATTCCATGAAGTTGCATTATTTCAAAACACCACAGTGATCACTACTCTGACATTCGGTGCGTGCGGCGCGCGCTTGTTAATGGCAAGCAGTGCGGCCCGCGCGCCTAGATTTACGGGCGGGGTCATGTACCGTGCGGCCCGCGCGCCTTGTATCCTTAGCGTACGGCCCGCGCGCAATATGTTCTCCCCGTGCCGCCCGCGCTCCTCCAATTCTCACACGCTATAAGCGTAATGGGTACCCGCGTGAGGTACGACGCTATGATTAGGCTGCTCCATCACTTGTGGGATTTAGATATCATTTCTTGGCATTTGAATAATCGCAGGAACATAAGAAGTTTTTGCTTTTACGGAGGTTATCGCTCGACAGCGTCCCGAATGGGTGCTAAATTTGAATTTTTGAATTCTGTGAATTTAAATTCAAATTTTCGAATTTTTTGAATTCGGAATTTTTTTGAAGTGTGAAGTTGAGAATGTTCACGGCACGACGAAAGAAGAAAAAGAAGATCTATAAAAGACTTATTCTCTAGTAGCTTGCGGACGGAGCGCTTTCGATACCGTGCGGCCCGCGCGCATTTACCGTTCGGCCCGCTCGCATTTATCGTTCGGCCCGCGCGCACGGAGCGTTCGGCCCCCTCGCACTACAAGGCGCCGCACGGGGAGCACGCGCGCGCCGCACGGACCGAATGTCAGAGTAGCACATGTGCGGGACCCTGATCCGTTACATATGCAAGTCTTTACGAAGTTTAACTAGCTTACCCGATCAGTCACTAACTTACGGCAAGAAATGGGACATTTCCCTGCTTAGATTTCTGTGTAGTCTTCGACATGCTACAATAAAATACCGATAGTTTTTTCGCTTGGGGCCTTCTTTATGAGACTACTGGGTGCACGAAGAGGGGTCTAAGTCTTGAAATTTGGTGGAAATTCGATTTCGAGAAAGAATTTGACATACTATACCATACATATTCATTGAGCTAACACTTCGGTATGAGTCCTTGTACCGTACATCTACCGAAAGCTAGCGAAAATTCAACGCGGGATGAGTATTGTTTTCGTAAATACGCGTGAACCAAACATCGAACCAAAGCCAACATTTCGTCCTAGCACCCTAATAAACATTCGAAACAAAGTCCTTTTGGGCCCACGACAAAATAAAGCGAGTTGGATCGATCAGTAGATGCCAGCACGTAACTTGGGCCTCTGTTGGCGCTCAGACCTGAGGTTCCTCCAAGGAATGCATAAGCACTGAAATTTCTGCGCATGTCGCTTACTCCATCTGTTTATAGTCAAGCATCGCTGACATGATACGAGATGCGGCTAACGAAGTGTTGCATTCTCGCGTTCCTGAAGGATTTGAGTGGATCGAGTCTTACGGGCAATACTACTCGCCAAGTTGTGGATTCTTCTTTGATCCGGTAGGAAAGCATGTGTATGAATTCATCAGATTTCCTTGATTAATTTTTTATCAAATGTCGAACCATCTTTTTTTTGCCACAAGCTCGTCTTTTTCAGAATACTGGCTTATTCTATCACCACGAATCGGAAACCTATTACATATTCAACGACGAGACCCAGCAGTATGAGGTTTATAAGTGCATGCGTAAAAGTGAGTCGTCGGGACAATCCGAAATATTACATTATGTAAATGTTACCTGCATTCATTCCCCTTAACCTTTGTAACTTCATGGCTTTTCTCGCATCAAAAGTTTTCGTTTTGTTCGAAAAGTAGGCTATCCTACCCCGAAAATTGGAGATTTGAGTTGGTGACAGCCAGAAAAATCGCTCATCTTGACCGTTTCCCCTAGCTAGCGAGTGACAAACATAGCTGAAAACATGTGAGGATTCTCTCTCAATCTCTGATAGGTGTTTGATAAATTGTGGAAAACTATGTTTTCCCAGCATATCCAGTGGATATTGCACAGACTATGCGCGCAGTTTAGCGTATTCGATCGAAGATAGATCCGATTTGGCTCTAGATCAATTATAATAGACATGCAAAACGATGTCTGTTTTATGCAAGCACCATAACTGACGATGCCATTTTAGCGCAATGGACTTCCAAGTCTAATGAGAGAAAAGCTAAAGAAATGTTTGCTGGTGCGCTGGACCAATTTGATCAAGATGCGGTCGATGTATGCGAGGTTGTCTTCGATCTTACAGCGAAGCTCAGCCTCGAGGACGAGGTGGTTGATGATGTTTCAACGAGCGAATCGCACGGTTCACCCGTGAGTATCTGGAGAACGCGCCATAGATGGACTAGAAGGTTTGTAATGAATGAATATGTTGCAGGTGATCGTACATGAGGAAGCTGTTCCATCTACGGAATATTTTGACGAGGCCACGGGAGAGATGATTACAGTTCCCGGAAAGATGCATAAAGGTACTGACCTGAGAAGTATGGAATTCTGCTCAATTATGCCCGCTTCTAGAGCCAACAAATAGTAAGGAAAGGCGGAAAGAGCGCAGGAGAAAAGCTAGAGAAGCTATGAAGAATGGCTTGGTTCCTCATGAAGTTGAAAATGATACAAGCGAAGAAGAAGATGAGAGGATTCAGATGAGAGAAGGTGAACTGACGATTTTCAGGAGAATCCTCATAGCCTTTGACATCTTCAATTCTTTTGTTGTGAAATCTTTGACTTGTATGGAAGTAAAGCTGTAAAAAAGATGTGTTTTGACGCATCACGTGCTTTCTAGATGAAGGTTTTTCTCAACCGCCGCTGCTGCGAATAATTGACTCCAAAAACCATCTCCATGTGGTCACGATTTGTGGAGGGACTGTCGGAAGGCAATCAGGCAGCGACATTTTGGTGGAAGATCCGACTTTGTCAAGGGTGAGCTTTGACGCAGAGTCTTCTGAACATCCGCTTATGGTTTGCCTTTCAGAAATTGCTGGAATTTGTTTTTGTTCCTGAAAGCAATTCATTTGTTGTGAAAAAAGTTACTGAGAAAGGTCATGTTGCCTTGAATGATTACGAATTGAAGGTATGCATGTTACGCTGTTTTTATCTCTCTTGTTTTTCTGAGTCGATTGATTATGGAGTTTGAATAATTTTGCCCTATCATACTTTATATCTGCTAGAAGAGTATTTTTGTTCTACATAAGCCAGATTGTCGTGCAATAAGCACTTTTCTTATCATAAAGTGATTATCATTATTTGATTCCACTCCATTTCTCATATGCTTATTTAGCCAAATGATGAAAGAGAACTTGAACATGGTGATTTTCTACGATTTGGATCTGAATTTTTGCGGATACATGTGCATTTTGGTAAGTGAACTTCAATGACAATTTAATCTTCTATAGTTTTCCTAACTTTGAACTTTGTTGTAATGAATTCAATTCAGGTAATAATACTTGCTCTGGATGTGAGCCAGGCCTTCTTCCGCCAAATCCTACCTCCATATCTCAGAGCCTTGCAGTTCCACATGGCGAAACTGCTCGGCGCCGCAATCTGAAAGCCATCAAGGCTTTGTACGGAATAAATGACTATGTGAGCTTATTTTTTAGCGTGTCCTAGTTCTTGATGGATATCTCTCACATAACTTATTGATGTTACAGGCGGAAAGTGCTCGAAATCCCCGTTACGGCGTTGATCGAGCAGCGAAAAGGCGGAAACTTGTGGGATCAGAAATCGATGTGAAGAAGGACGGTGTGGACGTTAATGACATCTATGCTGGATGCGCTGCAAAACCTATACCAGGTTAGTTTACTGTAATAGAAGATGACTGCTCTGAATAGGTCAATTGAATTTTTTTTTGCTTCAGGCGTTGTTGTTCCATCCAAATTTGACCCAGTAAAGCCACTGAATGATGCGAACAAGGGATTCCGTCTACTTCAAAGCATGGGTTGGAAAGAAGGCGAAGGCCTTGGGAAGGAAGGTCGTGGCAGACAAGACCCGGTGGGTAGCTATGAACGATTTTTCTTTGCATGATTCTTCCAGTCTAGTGCTGCGTAAGTCAGCTACATAACAAGTTAAAAAGTGTTCATTGCTTGAAATTTCGCTTGCATATGGTTTGCTTTATTCAGGTTGAATCTGCCGTACGCAAGGATCGCCAAGGGCTGGGCGCTGCGGAAGCGAAACCTCAGCCAAAAACTCGGAAGGATGTAATTCTAGAAAAAACCAGGGAGCGATATGAACAGGTGAGACATTGCTTCATACTTTAATTAGTCAAAAGTATTTCTCTGTGTTCTTCGTGGACTGCTAGAATGTTCTGCTTCATATCTTTATTGGTCTCTCATTGAACAATAGTGCTGAAATCGTTTAGTTTTTTTTTTAGTTTTTTGATTCTGCTGTCAATAGTATCTTCGTACACTAAGTTCAGAACTACTTCAGTAGATTCTGAGAATTGTCTGAAAAATTGTCAAAGCGTTTATTGGAAATTCAGCGCCACTGATCAGCTCATGTGACAGCTTATAGAAAACGTAATATCTGATTTCGATTATAGAGCAGAATTTTCTCTCTTTTTTTGCTCTTCCTAAATAACTGGAGAGTAGTGAGGATCTGAAGATATTTATGGGCTTTGCTTTCTTATTTTTTTCCATTCATCTCCTTTTTTCTTTTATATATGTTCAATCCAACCAGTTGAAAAAATTAGTACACTTTTTATGCCCTTATACTTATTTCTTCTGAATCTAAAACCTGGGACATGCGCGACATAGTTCGACAAATGCGGTTTCGGGGCGTGATCTGAATACCTGAACCTAACTTATTCCCAATTCTATGGACAGCTTGTGCTTGATCTTCTATTAGTGGTAGGCTAAGTGACTGGACTGCTTTACTCATCTCTTTTTGTTAGTCAAAGTTGCAGCAACTGGATACCCTGTTTTCACTAACGAGTTTTTTCAATTCCGCGACCTAATTGAGTGGAGCGTTTTTCATTCATAGAAATGACTATCGAAACATAAACATCAAAAAGCAGTCGAAGCTAATCCAAAAATTTGTCCTTCGAATCTCGTTGTTATTTTTTATATGTTGCACATCTCATTTATGATTCGATCCACTTTCGATGGGTGCACTCGAAGATGATGAGTTGTCGTTTCTAAAAAGTGAAGTCAGTGATGAATCAATGATGACAGATGCATAGACTGCAATCATGACTCGCAACATGTTCTAGAACAATCTATCTTTTTCCATCTGACAGAGGTTATGATGTTGACACAATATTTTCCCGCTTTAATTTTCATTTTTTTAAAGAACAAGCGACACCTGTTCAGAGTAAAGCCATTTTGCTGGGGTAGCTATCAGTAATCTAAGTTTATACTGCGATAATGAGAACTATTGTCTAGGCAGTTGTTTTCTTGTATTTTCTCACGGAACCAAGGGCACTGATATAATCGAATGCGCAAATTGTTTACATGAAGCCTGAAGCTGAATGTGTCACTAATCAAGCGCCTTATAGCATTCTAAAAATAATCCCCGACAATTTTCAGCTGTTCAACGAATCTTAGAAGAAAACATCTCGTCATGTCAGCCATTTGTAAGTATGTGATATTTATGATTACTTCGAAGATAAAGAGTGTGTGCTGATGTATCGTCAAAGATGTTATTTTCTTTGCATGTTCTTTCACCGCGTAAGCGAATGCAAATGGTATGTGAAGAATGTTTTGTCATGAATTTTTCTACGGCCAATGTCTTAGTTGTTCAAAGACTGAAAGTGCAATTCATGCATTCGCAAAGACCTCCTTGAGACAACTGGTTTCTGGTGTCAATGAGAGTGCAACCGTGCAAAACAAGTATGATAAGAAAATGACAGATCTGAGCTGACCGAGTCTTGATCTAATGAACTTTAGTTATTGTGTTGTTTGAGAAATTTGTTTATATGATTAAGGAAGTTGTGGACATCGCTCAGATTTGATGTATTTATTTGCACTTCAAACAAAAAGTGCAAAAAATTTGAGTGAGAGCTTTTTACGAAGATCCATCTTCCCTACAGTCGTGTACTTAGTAATTTCATGGTTTATTGATACAACGACGTTTGCGCTTGTATGTCTAAGGTGCGTGCTATATTGATCCCCTTGATCCGCTTCGTGCAAAACACACGCTCACTATGTCATTTGGCGCCGCGTATGGAATAAAGTATTCTGTATGGTTGCGTAAATTCGCTGTACGCGACGTCAAATGACAAACTAGTGAACGCGCGTTTTGCACGAAGCGGATCGAGCGGATCAAGTATGGCGCGTGCTTAAGGAGAAAAAAGTTGTAAAATGTGTGCTCTATGGCCATTTTTCTCGTACAAATTGGAGTGAGGTGCGGAAGGCGACAATCCCCAGTTTTGTGCCTATCAGAAACTCTCCGTGGTCAAAGTGACACCCCGGGGGACTACGGGGGTGGGGGGTGGGGGCAGATACATTACTCAATGAGACAAGTAGAAATCCGTGAAAGTCACTGAGACGGATGAAACACTGCCTCCATTTTTCGCCGATTGTCGCCTTCCGCGTGCCCCCCCCCCTCCACAAATTGTCGATGCAGGTATGACAGTTTGTTCACGGGCAAATGTCGAACCCAGGGGGAGGGGGGCACTGCGCTCCGGATTTCTTTCGTTTTACTTCATGAATCAGTTAAACCGCATCCCATTAGTTGTAAGCATCATTTAACTCCGAAAATAGCTTCTCTTGCGACGACAACTTATCCTTATCAAGGTGCACTGAATGGGCGTGCCGCGGGCGCAAAGGTAACCAATCACAGCCCGGTGAACTGGGACATTCAGCTGACACCACGTGATTGATCTTCTGCACGTCACTTCAAAAATAGTTTTTTTTGACGTCTCTTGAAATATCGGAGCTTAGTTTGAAATAGTTTTGTGAGATTCAAGGATGGTAAAAGGCCGTCGTCAAGGCCTCCAAATCGATAACATTCTTCTTATCTTTTTTCCCAGTTTCTCTTTTTTACTCTGGGTGTTTATAAAAACAATCTTTGCGTGGCTCAGTTTTTTTTTATTTTATGGATTGGTTGAAAAAATTCACCAGTGCCTTCCTTGCAAGACTTAGATTTACCTTCTCTTGTCCCCTTTCTTTTGAAAGTTCGTAAAGCCAATCGTTAGAATGGCTGATATCTGCTAATGAAAGACGAGCCCCCCTTTATGAATGCATTTTTTCACCACTCGATTATCAGTAAGCTGTGAAAGTGCACTTCTCACAGTGGGTTTTGGTTGTTGCTCCCGCCGCACTATAGTGGGAGAATTCAAAAATGCTTAGAGATCTGGTCCCCCAGCTTTCAAAACCATGGTTTGTATAGTCACTACATCAATATTGTGAGCCGGCAGCTTTTACGCGCGTACGCGTTCTTTGAGGCCGTAAAAGCCGGCTGCGTGCTAGGCAGTGTATGGACGAGTTAATGCATTGCACAAGGTGTTACAATAAGTGCAGTGGAAATGACTACGGAAAGGCTAGCCGCTGTATTGAACACTTCAAAGAGAATCACTCAGCTTAAAATTTTTCTCAAATTTTGCTTAGAAGTTCAGAAGAAACTATTTTTCAAAAATAAAATAAAGTGCGGAACGCAGTACCTGGCACTTTATTTTTGAGAAATTGTATCTCCTGAATTTTCGCTAAGCATGGGAGGACCTGACAAATCCGAAGTCATAGTGTAATTGCGTTGGCAACAAACTTGCGATTAAAAATTGGCCATGCGACGCGTAAGTGTTGCCGGCACCGCAGCTGCACCATGCTAGTCGTCAAATCCAGAGTGCACAATAGCAAGCAAATTTACGTCAAAGAATCTCCCCCCTATATTTTATGATTGTGAGAGTAAACTACAGGTATCAAAAATGACCATGATTCCACTTTCTAGAATTTTTAAATGGCACAGTAGAGTTGACGATTAATGTAGTGTATCTGTGTTGCTGACAACATCTGCGCGTAAAAAATGGCCATGGTGCGCAAAATGTGCAGGTGGCACCGAACAGCCATTTTTACATGCAAGTGTTGCCGACACCGCAGTTGCACCATGCTATCGTCAAATCTAGAAAATCGACACCATGGCAGAATCTCTCTATTTTATGGCTGTCAAAATGAGCTGCGGGTACCAGAAAGGACCATGAGTCTCATTTGCTTGAATTTTCAGAAGGACAAGTAAGGTTGACGAATAGTATAGTGTATTCTGCGTTATCGACAACATTTGCGCGTAAAAGATGACCATTGGGTGCAAAATCTGAAGATGGCGCGAAGAGCCACTTTTTACGCGCAAGTGTTGCCGGCACCGCAGCTGCACCATGCTAGCCGCCGCATGTACTCGAGTATACAAATGCAAGCGAACATCTGGCAGAAATGTTCCCATTCTTTCTCTGGTGCTTATAAATGACCCAAGTCAACCTTGGAAAAGATCCTCAGCAATTATTGATCTTCAAAAAATTAGCTGCAGTTGGGGAAAACAATTTTTTATTTGACTAGCTTCATACATATGACCCAAATTGGTTTCTTCTCATTTAATAGCGCAAATCCATTGTATTGATTTTTATGATTTTCGCACGGTCATAATTGTGCTTTGGAATGCAAGACATAGTTTCTCAACGTAAAAATGCCAAAGTAAGAAAAAGAAAACAGAAAAATCAACTTCCAACAGAACATTGGTACAATCAATAATAAATTTTCTTTTGTTTGTTCTTCTTTGCAGGAGAAATGACCTACTTAAGAAAATCCCATTTCTCTTGCTCTTGTCGATGTCCCATTGTGTTGTCCCTGTCCATAATTCGTCCACGCAATCTCTCACAATCCTCTCAACGCTCGTAACGGGACATTTCCATCATCGCAACGGTCAAATGTCGCTTTACTCATGCAGAAAAAATCCTACGTATTCCTTTGATGGAAAGGACATCGCCGCCCTGTCCATAGTTTAGTCGTTGTCCTTTTGTATAAATGTGTGACAACGGTGTGAAAGCTTTGTTCGGTACATTAGTTGCTTGTGCATGTGCGTTTTTTCCGCAGTTATTGTGTAATTGCACATTTATTGCATATGGTGTCATTAGATATATTGTTGTGTAATGGGAAGTCAATACCGCAGAACATCACATGCAGAGAAGGCAGCAAAATTATGGGCTATGAAATTTTATGGGCATTCTGTGCATGATCGCGTGAAATGTGCAATTATGTTTTGATTTAAATCCGGTTCGTGCCAGGAACAACGGCTGTAAAGCATTGCATAGTTTGGTTTTTGTCCACAATTGTTTCCTAAAACTTCTCTTGTGAAGTGCTTCCACTTTTCCCGTTGTACAGCGGGACATATTTGTGTGGAACGTAAAATGGCATGGTAAAAACCTTGACTCGTAATTTCTGCAAAAAATGGCGTGAATAGAAGAGGCGGCCCTTTTGTGCAATTACAGTATGCTACCGTAACGTCGTGCGATGAAACTCAGCATAAATCGCCAGGGTACGAAGTCGCACGCGATGTACATTTCTCCCGTCGTCCATGCAAATCCCGAATGTTTTGACGTCAACCTTATGCCAGCAAGAGTCGAGGGTTACGGTAGTCTTTGATACCTTGGTGCAAAAGGGGCCGCTCTTGTTTATTCATGAAATGGTGCAATTCGCATTGATTTACATCAATTCGTCATCCGCTCAAACTCGGAGTACTCTGACGTCAACCTTGCCACTCTAGTCGGGAGTTACGGTAGTTTAGTATCTAGGTGCAAAAGGGGCCATACAATGTTCATGCTATGAATGGTGCGACATTGAATACAAAACACCTCCCATTCATCTATACGAAGCTAAATCGGTCTCACGTCAACTATTGGTAATGAAAGTTGAAAGTTACGGTAGTCTACCGTACCGAGATCTTGGGTGCAAAAGGGGTCGCATAGGTATGCCATGGGATAAAGCGACTTTCAACGCGATGTAAATCTCATGGTTATCATCCAAATCGGAAACTTGGGTCAGCTAGAAAAGCAGCGGGTTATAGTTTACGGTAGCATGCAAAAGGGGCTACTAGGATTTGGGTTTATTTCAAAAAGTTTCAGGGTTGTGGGCTGCTCAAATATTTTGTGGTCTCAAGACGAATCATACTTGGAGCACGTGAATTTATGAAGACATTTGAATGGATTTTCTTTACTCCTCTCACCCTCCCCCTTCCCGTTACCCGCAATGGATGTCCATCTCAATCATATTTGTCGACACACTCAAACTTTTTCATAAAATCTTGTTTATAAGTGTTTATTTGAGAATATTGTGATCAATATGAATGTGTGGCACTTTCCAAATATAGTATTCTCATTTTGTGCCAACTGAATAGCAAACATTGCTGTGTGCGGCGATGTTATTATGGAAAAATGTACTAAATTAAGGGAATCGATACCAAATGACCTTTTCGCCACAGGTTCACTCCGGCAATAGGGAACACTTGCGTTAGTAGTCACTCACTTTCTCTTCACGTTTTTATTCCGTGGATTCCGGGCTATGATTGATTGTGATTGTTTAGTTTCTTTCATGCCTTTTTGAGACGCATTTTATCGTCATAGCGTATGAGCCATCAATCATACGTTTTTATTTCTCTCTGACAACGCTTGTAGCATTTGCAACACTACGTAATAGGATTTTCTATAATGATTCATTATGATAACAAACAATAGGCATAATTATTTGAAAAAAAGGCATTTCGCAAATAGCTGCGAGAATTGCCTGT